CTGAGCAATGAACACAGGTATGCCGATCAAATGACTGTCCGTATAAGATATGAATGTCAAGTGACATTACACATCTATCTCTCTCTCTCTCTCTCTATCTATATATATATATATATATATATATATATATATATAATTATATATATATATATATATATTCATATACGGTATTATTCGCCAACCACGATACTGCTGCAGGCTGTAGTAGGCTTTAATTTGGCTCTGCTATATTGTAATAATTTTTACTGTTGGCGTATAAACTAAAGTGCATTTTCTCGCAGGTCTGCAGGCCCTTTATGTCACTCCCCTTCCAGAGAATCTAAAGCTACTCGACGTATCACAGTAAGTACGAAAAACCTGGTTACTGAAAATCTCGAATGTTTTCCCGACAGCTGAGAACAATGCCTTCACAATATGTCCGCATTGCTACTAGAATGAGTGACACCGCATATGTTCCTTTTCGTTTTGGCAGCAATGAGCTTAACAAACTACCGGACTGGGTGTGTGACTTATACAAGTTGGAGAGTCTTAGGGCCAGCCACAACCGACTTTCGTTGTTACCCAACAGGTGAGAACACTAGACTGCGTGTAGATACGTTTACTCAACAATAGGTCTCCTTCGTAAAACGTAAAATGTCGCCCAACTATAAATATCAAGCAATCAGAACGATCTTTATTAGGTACAATATATCGTTACCCTGTTTGCACCACCATGGTGAAAACCTGACTGGCTTCACTTGATGCAATCTAGTTTGGTTTCGATAACTGCTATTGCGTGCCCAAGGTGCCGCCCATATATGAAAGCTTACATATTTACAAGCCGCTAAGTAACAATTTTCGCGGAAACATTAGTCGCAAATCAACGATATTCTCTGAGCGCGACAGCAGTGATACCTCTCGGGTGAAACTGCGCTTTAAAGTAATTGCGTCACCGTAAATAGTAAAAGTAAAACAATCATGTCCTCTTTTTCACAAAATATAAATGATTCTGTTAACTTTTTGTGGTTAAATTGCTGCATCATACTTTCTATTTTGCTATTTCGTTTGATATGAACAAAACACTCGTGACTCATACATAGCCCATAGCAAGCATTTAATGTCGTGATCTATATATCAAATCGTCCAGGGTTTTTTTTAATTTTGAACTAGTTGAGAAACAATCTTATCAGGTAAAAATTCGAGGATACATTTATTCTGTTAATACTTACTTTTCATGTAAAAAATATTGCAACAAAATTTTTACAAATATACACCATAGAAAATTCGTGACATCGTCAATTTAACGTCGCCAGGCTGCTGTGTCACATGGAAGCGCTGCGGATGCTCTACGTCGACCACAACCAGCTGACCATGCTTCCTGAGTGCGTGGAGAGCTGTGCGATAGAGGTGCTCATGTTGGAGCACAATCGCCTCACGCAGCTACCAGTCGAGCTGCTCGTCAACTGCCGCAAGTAAGCCCCGACACACGAGGCGTGCGTCACGCGCACGAAGAGGTTTATTCAGCACGATCAGTCCTTCCCCCGTACCCCGTATATACCCCGTATATACCCCGTATATACCCCGTATATACACTAATCCCAACGATAATCACTAATCGTAACCCTGTCCCTATTCCTAATCATAATCATAATCATAATCCTAACACAAACCCTGCCCCTACCCTAATCCTAAGCCTAACCCTAACCCTAACACTAACCCTAATCCTAACCCTAACCCTAATTCTAACCCTCACACTAACCCTAACCCTAACCCTAAGACCCCGTATATACACTAATCCCAACGATAATCACTAATCATAACCCTGTCCCTATTCCTAATCATAATCCTAACACAAACCCTGCCCCTAACCCTAATCCTAAGCCAAACCTTAATCCTAACCCAAACTCTATCCCTAATCGTAACCGATAACCCCTAACCCTAATGCTAACCCTAACATTAGCCATAACCCTGATCCGTACTCCTAACACTAACCATCCCCTCTCCATAACCTAATCCTAACCACATCATGTATGTAGGGATTTAGGACATTTTTTTATATTTTTTTGATATATATTACATATATACATATTTTTATTTTTATTTTGATCATAGCATCTTTACATTGGATTTGGATCACGGATGAATTGTCGCATGCCGGTGTAATTTCTTACCAACATTATATTTTCTGGTTTGCTCGACTACAGGCTAAAAACCCTCAATGCGACCAACAACCGGCTGACGTCATTCCCACCGCTCAACCAATGCGAAGACCTCAACAAGATTCAGGAGTTGAATCTGTCCTTTAACTACCTTACGGACGCCGTGTTCGAGGAGATTTGCAACTACCCACGCCTGAAGATCCTACATATGGCCTACAACTGCCTGCGAGAAATCACAGCCGTGTGAGTAGTATTGATCATGTGTGTCTATCTGTGAGAATTGATTACGGTATTCCTACAGTGTTTTGCTTTAAATTGTTTTCAAGCATAACCCTAACAGCGACTGGTATCAACCATGCTACTTCACTTACCACCCTACTCTCACTTCAACCCTAACCCTATCCCTTACCTTAAATATAGCCCTACCCCACCATAACGCTAAGCCTTACCCTAAATCTAGCCATACCCCACCATAACTCGAACCCTAACGCTAACCCTAACACAAGGGAATTGTTCACTTACAAATGTAAGTATCACGTACGATATAAACAAATGATTATCATTACAGAGCAATCCACAAGCTGGAAATTCTAGAGGAGCTGAACATATCTGGCAACAAGATCGCGTATCTACCCGACGTCATAGGCGAGCTGCCTAAACTAGTAGTACTGAGAGCACACTCCAACAAGCTTAGGGCTCTACCCGACTTTTACAAAGCAACATCACTGAAGGTACATTAATGCTGTCACCTACATACCTAATCCAGTGTTAAATTAGTGTCACGTATTAGCGTCAATGGTGCTGTGGCATCGCCAGACGATGGTGTTTTTTTTATATCTCCAATTTAGTTACTGCATAATATATCCAAATTTCATATATCTACATTAAATTACAATATGCCTAATATTGGGTGTATTTCTGAAGAAGATTTTAATGCTGAGAAGCAAATCCGATAAGTGAGTCGCAACACTAGTATTATTTTCTAGTGCCGAAGAGCATAAATTAAGCTCTACTGCTAATGCTCTCTCTGTCTGTGTCAACGCAGGTGTTAGACGTGGGATGCAACCAGCTGCACAAGGTGTCCGTCTCTAACATCATGGCATCACAGCTGAAGCATCTCGATGTATCGTGTAATTCTGGTCTACAGGTCACGCCCCAGGCTTTCCAATCATTCAGGTACTTGTTCACGCCGTCACTTAATTATCAGATATTCATTTCGCTTCTATTTTCACTATCCGCTCCTATAATCCCCCTCTATTCCCTTTCCATATACCCTTTCCCCATGTTTACATAAGGTTATGCTAGTGTAGTCTAAATTCCTTTCTCTAACTCTTCCTTCCTCTCTCGCCATCTCTATCCATAATAATTGGATCTATATCGATTATAACCTATCACTGTGCCGCTAATCGTAGGTACAGGCTGTAGCAAGCTGCTGTTCACCAACACAATAACTGTTCACAGTTCCGTGAAAAACATCTCACTGGTGGACATGAATGGCAGCAGGAACAGCCGCAGTACGCTCACCCCTGCCGAGTCCCAGGCGACCGTTGCCCATGACAACCTGTGGAACGTTGGCTTCTCGGAGACGTCCGGATCTCGAAACAAGTCAGTCGCCTTCCGTCGATACGTTTCGAATGATAAGCTACGCGCTCATCAATTCCCGTATTCAAATTATTCCTGTTCAACATTGAGATTACATTCATTCAGCTGTAGATATCGTATCCCTGTCTTATTATAGCAATTAGTGTCCTCTCCGCCAAAGATACGTCTAAGCCAGTGATTAAATAGCTAACCCAACAGTTAGACAAATAAGTTAACAGCTGAAAAGCTAACTCAAAACAATTGGACATCTCACCTTACAGTTAACCAGCTAAATCAACAGTTAGACATGCCGATGTTTAATTACGTACTACTTAACTAATTCTAATGCTTCTCTGTCTCTCTGTCTCTCTGTCTCTCTCTCTCTCTCTCTCTCTCTCTCTCTTTCTTTCTCTCTCACACACGCGCCGCCGCCTATGCGCTGCAGGCTGTGCATCACACAGCTGCGCATCCCGCAGTACGGCGCGGACGAGGCGCTGTTTGGCATCTTCGATGGCGGCCGCAACAACGAGGCGCCGCTGCTGTTGCAGGAGAAGGTCGCGAACATCATGCGTGACGAGCTCAATCATCAGCGCACGTCCGAGCAATACATGAAGTACACGATGCTGACCGCTCACAGGTGCGCCTATACCGCGCCCCAGCAGCGTGGTACACATCCCCCCCCCCGCGCTATAGCAAACGTCCCCCCTCTACGTTGCGCATGGGTAATAAAAGTCAAATTCTGTATGCGCAACGTGCTATGCACCCTGCTAGAGATGCCCATGATCATGCGCAATGTTGGGGGAGGACGGTTGACATAGGGTGGATTTATATCCACGTTACCCGCCCGCTACCGAATAGCCAATGTTGGCCGAATTGTTGACGAAAACGTTTTGAATCTTTTTACACGTAAACTAGAAGTTTGTAGATGCGAGAGGAAGAGGCGCTTTAAAAACAGAAACATGTAGTTCGATTTTGTTTGTGCACTGGTATTGAAAATATTCGTCTAACTGGCTGTATATATTACCGATGACCTTGTCACAAAGGATTAGCTGTTGATAAAAGTACATCATTATATCTCTACTGTCAGCTCCTTCCTGCTCCCATAAATAAATCTACGTCCTGCCTTCAACTACATCCAGGAAGCTGAAAGGAACCGGCCAGCGGATAGGTGCTGCCACCTGTCTGTGCCACTTGCGCACGTCGGTAGTCGACAACATACACGAGTATATTGCGAGCGTGGCGAGCGTCGGCAATGTTGAGGCGGTGCTGTGCCGCAGCGGCGAACTGCTGCGTCTGACGCGACTGTTCACCGTCGTCAGCGATCAGGAGGAGTGCGACCGCGTCAAGCGCAACGACGCCATCATCACCGACGTGAGTGTGACGTAACGCCGCCGCAGCGACCACGCGCCCTATATAGCACGACGCAGAAACACCTACATAAGCACGCACGCATTCACGTACGCACGCACGTACGCACGCACACACACGCGCGCGCGCGGACACAGACACACACACGCGCGCGCGCGGACGCACACACACACACTCACCAGGCAAGCAAGCATGCACGCACGCACGTACGTATGCACGCACACACTCACACACTCACACGCACGGACGCACACACTCACACACTCACACACTCACTAGGCACGCACGGTCGCATACACTCACACACTAACTAGACACGTACGCACGCACGCACGCACGCACGCACGCGCACATACACACACACACACACACGCACACACACACACACAGACAGACACACACACACACACACACACATACACGGACGCACACACTCACACACACACACACACACACACACACACACACACACACACACACACACACACAC